TCAGAATTTGCGTCTAACCAATTACCTCACCTTTCAACTGATTACTTTTTTGCGTTTAACCAAATTACTCACCCTTAATCAATTACATGACTTTGTGCATGTTTATTTACACCGATCTTCTCGTATTATTTAATATTCGCCATTATAGTAAAAAATTATATAGTGACAACGGCGAGTCGGTCGCTCAACAATCTAATTCCTTGCGTAACCTACGGCTGGCTTAGTCGAAAAGAGGCGTTTAGATTTGGCGAGTTGGTGGGTTCCGTAGGTAAGTATTCTTCCTGTTATGATTTTAGGTTCTTCTATACTGGGTTTTACTAATTCTAACCTCAATTACCACACTACTTCGGGCAATTGGAACAACGATAACCACAATTACCTTGCTACTTCGGGTAATTGGACTAGTGTTTCGGGCGAAATTATTTTGGCTCTGGTGAAATGTTTCGGATTTAGAATAGTAGTTTCGCCCGAAACAGTTGAACAAAATTTGAATCTGAATTTGGCTCACATGAACCTGAATTTGGCTCACTTGAACCTAATTGAGGTTCACCTGACTTATAGTGCTTCAGGAGGATCCGAAATGTTTCGCCAGGGGCGAAACTATTTCATTCTGCTGAAATATTTCGGATTTAAAAATAGTTTCGCCTGAAACACTAAATTGGACACAACGATAATCACAGTTGCTCCTAGTACGTCGGGTTAACAACTGGACAGGTAACGGGAGTCACGTGAGCAAAGGTTTAACGAAAGACAAGGTTTATCGCTTATGCCACTTAGCAATAAACTCGGGTTAGGGTAGTTTAGCGTGTGTATTTTATTGGGGAATTTATTATATGTAAAGGGTCAAGTAATAGTTTATTAACGGGAAGTTCAAGAGTTATTATTTATTATGCAAAGGGAGTTATCATTTCTCTAGGGCCTTCACGGCCTTTATTTATCATATACTTTTTATTTATTTACAGGTAACTTATCGCATCCGATATTTAACTAAACATTACATATTTAACTAAAGCGCAAATGACATCTTTGATTACTTTTATTTCACTTGGTATCCCGTATGCCTTTTTGGATCCCAAATGTAATAAATGTAACTTTTTGCACTTAGTCACGCGTCCAGTCCCATCCTTCACGGTTCACACTATCAAAACAACTGCACCAAAATTTTTTAGAACTTTGAGCGAAGATATCTTAATAGTATCAAACCAAATTCGATAAACTTTTTTTTTATTTGAATTATATAAATTCGTAGAATCAAAACAAAAAAAAAGTTTATCGAATTTGGTTAGAAAACTACCACCGAACCAAATTCGATGAACTTTTTTCTATTTGAATTCTAGAAAAACATTGAAAAATTTAAAACGTTTATCAAAACAAAAAATGCGCCAAAATTTTTTTATTTTATTTGAATTCTACGAATTCATAGAATTAAAACAAAAAAGTTCATCGATTTTGGTTAGAAAACTGTTGAGATATCTTTGCTCAGGATTTAAAAAAATTCAAAACATCTATTAAAACTAACCACCAAAATTTTTCTAAGACTTTGAGCGGAGATATCTCAATAGATATTGAACCAAATTCGATGAACCTTTTTTTGTTTGAATTCTACGAATTCGTAAAAAAGATTCATAAATTTGGTTAGATAGCTGTAAAGATAACTTCGCTCAAAAGTTTTTAAAAAAAAGTTTAAAGTCTAGGGGTATGAATAACAAAATCGGGGGTACTGTATGAATATCAGCTATGTACCATTATTATTATCGTTATTATTATTTTAATAAAATGAGTAAAACGCGCGTTAGTTTAAATTAGAACTCTAAAAATTGGTTCCATATTTACGGTAAATTTATGACTTACCGTAAATAAAGATCAAATTTCACTAATTCACGTAAATTATTCGGAGCATAGCAAAATTCTACACCTACAGTGCTAATATCTTTTGATCTAAAAACAATATCAAAAAAAGGAAGCCGCTGTTTTGTAGCTAAAATCATTTACTATAACTTAGCGGTCTTATTTTCTTTAAAAAATTATAATGACTTTTTGAGATATATTGTTTTAAAAATATAGTATTTTTATATGATAACATAAAAAATATCAAAAATGGGACAAATATTAAATAATTAATAAATTTTCTTAAAAATACACTATATATATTTTTTTTGAATATAAAATAATAAATCGTTAAAATAAAAATCGTTAATAATTTTCTACATAGCGAAGTCAAAATTTTACTATATAAATCGATGTTGATTCATTAAGTAAAGTTATTCAGGAGGTCAAAATACACGTAGTCTGAAAGTTTTATATAAATTAAACAACTTTTTATTAATACATTTTTGCATATTACGATTGGGCGAACAAAATTTTAAACTTTTTTAAAAATTTTTGCCTAAACTTAATATGCAAAAACGTATTAATGAAAAGTTATTTAATTAATGTAAAACTTTCAGGATATATGCATTTTGATCTCTTGAACAACTTTACTTAATGCATTAATATCGATTTGCATAGTTAAATTTCGACTTTAGTATATAGCAACTATTGACGAACCCGAAAATGGGACAACGCGCACTGTAGTAGGGTTGGCAATTTTCGTAAGTTATAAAATTTTAATATAACTTACACTAAAATTCTATTATGTAACTTACAGTAACAACATGGAACTTCTCAACTCTAACTCCTGGTGTTTACAAAAAGTACGTTTTTGATGTATTTCGACCAAAAAGGATACGCGTGTCGCGTGAGAATTAATTCCAGTTAACTTTAACAATAAATAAAAATATTTACAAAAATTACACAGTGAGAAAAAATATAAACCCAACTTACCATTACACATACATCTATTTAATTTCGATTAGCTTCACTTTATTTAGTCAATAAGTATCTTTAATTAATTTATTCAAGTCATTGAATATTTCTGCTTTAATTTAATAGGTTGGAAATAAAGTTGCCTGCCATAATTAATTCCAACCATTACGACATATGAGTTGTAATATTACGACATATAGGTTGCAATGGGGGAGTTTCAAAGTTAAGAATAGGATTTTTAAAGAGTATTTTTACTATGTTTATTACAACATGCTAAAAGCAATGACGACAGGCAACTCTAGTTGAAAGAAGCATACTTACTATTATAATATACTCAATTTTATTTTATTAGCGTTATTTAGTCGGAGTGTATAAGATTTTTGTATTAATCAATATTTTTAAAATATTACTATAACAACATTACCTTTTTTATTCTATTTGCGTTAATTTAAACTATTTAAGATTAGATTATATACCTTTGCCGATGTCTTTATTACATATTTTTAATACACTTGTGAGCTTACAAATCTTTAATTAATAAATGAGTTAAAATATACGATTCAAGTCTATAGATCTTTACCTTTTGTTCAACAACTTTAATTCAATTTATACGCGTTGATTTAGTAGTGATTATAACGTCCGGAAAAATTAACATAAAAAAAGGAATAAAAAATAAAAAAAAAAATAAATGAAAGTAAACTTAAATGTTTAATTTAGATATGCAATACTATCAATATATCATATTTGTTTAAAAATTTTTAAGGCCGAAAATTTTATTATCCGGATTTGTACCTGTTTTCTGTTCCTAGATACGTATATATTGCCAAGCAAATTATAGAATTATGTAACAGTAAAGCTAACTAACTATTAATTATTATTAAATAAATATTAACCTATATTACATAATTTTTTTTTTTCCGGACAATTAACTCCGGTGGTCATAAAACGCTAACGGCCGAATTATTGACCAACATTGCTTTTCTTGCACATGGTTTGTGTTTTTCTCTTACCGGAAAATTAAAGAACCTTTTAGTATATTTAATACACACTTATTTGTAGCATATACACCCGACAATTGAGAAATCCGATATAATTTTATCACACAATTAACAACTACTATTATAATACACTGCAGAGATTAAACGGGGTCATAATTAACTAATTTCTAATATTTTGGCAATATTATAATATAAAATTTTTTTAAACTGTATAAATAATTTCGCTCACAAAAAAAGTATCTAATCCCAAACTTTTCATGTATGTGCTAATAATAATTTACAATGTTAATAATATACCAAATTGATAATCGGACTTTCGGACCGTGGTCAATATCAATTTGAAAATTTAAAGAATAAATACACATGCGTACGTACGTACCTATAACAGAGTGTATGTTTGTTTTTATGTGATGTACTTACGTATGTACTTAATCTGTACTCCGATTGCTCCGATTTAATACAACTCACACATTCAAGCATACATCAGCCGACTTTTTCTAACCAAATAAAGATATGAATTAATGGTTTATTTATTCGCTATTTTTGGCGATTTTTTCATTTTTGTAAATTCCTATGGAAATTCTTGTTAATTTATTTATCATCATGATGAGAACTTATTAGAATTGTTACTATTAATTTTATTCTTCCATATAGAATACATTAATGCTAAGAAAATCTTTTTTTTTGTTTGTTTGTATTAAGATAAATCATTTAAATATTCCATTATATAAGCATTTAATAATCTAAGAAATATATTAAACTCCGATAAATGGTATATGACGTCTACTATTAGGTAACAAAAAAAAATAACTACGTACAGTACATCATTTAACAATCGTGTAACCCGAATCCAATTTCCCGCAAAAATAAAATTTAAAGTACGGTGATTAGTTTCTTCTTTACCAAATCAGTACATAATGATTATTCTTTTGTACATAGTGATCAGTCTATTTATCTGTCGGAAATTTGATTTATACTAGTTAGTAATGTATTTATTATAACAAAGCATTCATTTACAGATACGGAATGGTTTAAAGATCTTACTTCCAAATACATTATATTAATTTAATCCGGAATCGTGAGGCTCTTTTTATATTACTTACTGAATTATTATTTCTCATAAATAGGCCTCCAAAACCATCAGCTTTGTGTTTCGACTAACGTTACAAAAGTCCTTCAATTTGTTCGCAAATTTTTTTAATGATCTGATCCAATTCGACGATTATCATTATCTAAAGATAACCTATTTCTTTTCGCGTTTGAATTATTATCGCGATTGATAATATTATATTCAGCCTTATCTTCTAATGAATCCCAATTTCCAGTAATTATATGACCTTCTTTATCATCGACTAAAGAAAAACTTTCTACGGAGAATGCCTTCGAAATTTCATGATGAATATCATCCTTGGTGTCACTTGGAAAAAATTTAAACTTGTATTTTTCAGATTTATTTGATTTATTATCATCAGATAATTTAATCGATATACTCTTTGATGGATTAAAAGATGATGATGATGATGATATTGATGATGTCGTAGGAACTTGATGAGAATAGGACATAATTGAAAAAGAAATTGCGAAAAATTTTGTTTGTGTGTAATAATAAAAAAAAAAATATTTTGATGATTAACGATAATAATTCATGAATACGTTAAAATTTAATATAACAGACAATTTATTTATAACGAAGAAAATGTAAACGCGAAAAAATTCGAAATTTTTCAAATACGAGAATAAAAATTTTTTTTAAATTTTTTGAATAAAAAAATTTTTTTTTTTTTTTTGAGTAATTTTTTTTTTTTTTTTTTTTTTAATTTAAATGATTTTGTCCTTCATTTATTAAGAGAAAATAAATAAAATATTATAACAAAAATATGAACTAAACTAATTTAGTTATAAAAATATTTTCTTTATTTAATTTCAAACTCACTTA